ATCTACTGGCATGAGCTTGTTTGCACAGTTTTCTGGTGGAGCCACACTCTTCACCCAGTGACCTTTTTGACATTTTCCTGGTTTCCCTTCTGCAGGAACACTTCAGCAGTGAAGTGCCATACTCTGCTGAACAAACTTGGCATCTCATCAAGCTGACTTATTTGGTATGTATTTACACTTGTAGACTTTAGTACTCTCCTGGCAATTGAGCTTCCTTCCTGCCTACATAAATATGATTTCATTATTAGCTTTGTTTAGTTGTTGTTGTGCATCTGTGTGCTTTCCTTTCCCAAACTGCCAAAGAGAATTGCAGGTGTTGATCTCAATTTGCACCCAAAGCATCCTGAACTCTCTAGCCCACCTGCCAACTCTAATAATGAGCAGCACTCTCGACCTCCTGCCTAAAACAACCCATGAAAACTCACCCCCATATTTTTTTTACACTGAGGATCCAGTAAGTTCTGTTAGAGCTGTGGCCTCTGTGGTTTTGTTTGTTTGTACTTAGACAAAAGTACTGGGTTTGTCTCAAAGGTGCTTTTTTGGCTTTTCCCTCTTGCACTTGGATCTGCAGTGTTTACTCAAAACACGGGCTGAGCCAGAGAGTTGCCTTTGCACAAAGGGCCCCGAAGTGCGTGAGACTCGTCCTGTTCGAGCTCTTGTGAAGTGCAGGAGAAGGTGTTACGAGCACGATCTGGACAGGAAATAAAGCTCTTATTCCCACCATAAATGCTGTCTAGTGGAGCAGGTCAGATGAGAGATCTCATACAATTGCTCGTAGTGTTGAGCCCTCCAAGGGTGTTGGCAGCCTCAGCTCCCACTGATGGGAGTGGTTGTCCCCACTGGTCAGGCTTTGTGGAGGAAGGTGACGACTTCCGAAATGCCTCCTTGCATGACAGGCTAACTTCTGCTCAGGGGAAAGTGAAGAGCCAGTGGTTGGGTTTTCTCTTTCTTTTGCAGTCTAGGCACTGCTTGGCTGTTTCTGGCCCAGGCACTGCCAAGGCAGCTGGCTTTGGCACCTCAACAAAGACGCAGATGAGCTACAAGCACACAACTTTCCACAGTTCTGAGTTAAACCAGCTGCTGTGCCTTTAGACAGGAACAAGGCAATTTCTACACAACCTCTGGACAATTCCTGTATACTGAAACTAACCATAAGGCTCCTGTAATCTCCTACATCACTTTCATTCTATGAAACCTTTGCTGGTTGGAAAAAGATATATTTGTATGCCCCGGAATGAGGATGCATTGAAACTGTGCTAATGCCAGAGGTTTGTACATGCATTATCTTCTCTGTGATCTCACATCCCATGTACCTGGAGTTCTCTCCATGTAATCTCAGAGTCAAAGGAGAACTGTAGGAAGTGTGGTGTTCACTTCATGTTCAGTTTTTCATGGGAAAAAATACTGCAGGTGACCATCACTTGGATGACTATTCTGGATTTTCTTGCAAGCTTTTGCAATGATCTTGCAGAGGAAAATATTTCCTGCATATTTCTTGAAATTAATTTCTGCTCTGAGTCCCATGACTATGTTTGAAGTATTTTATTCTTCTAAAAAAAAACCCCACAATCTCACTTTACCAGGTGGGGACCTGGCACTGCAGGGGATGGAGAAGCTGCTGGAATGAGGGTAGATTTGTTTTTCACCTGGGAAGAGGCCAACAGGACAGGTTTTATGAGATGAAGGAGAGACAAGGAAAGAAAGTGAAACCAAGCAGTCAACTTGGTAGCTGCAATCTTTGATCTGTGGCTGTCTGCAAACAGCAACACAGCTCTGTGATTAGATGTACATGCTCATTACGTGTTGTAGTCTCCAAGCAGACATTGTAAATACAGCACAACGTATTCTGCTTCCTTCTGCCCAAATATCTTTTTTCATCTATATTGCATTAAGACCTTGAGGCCTATCATCAGGGAGAGAAAAAAATACAATTTTCTTATTGTACAATGCATTTCATTCCCAGCCGCTGTATTAAATTTATTCCTATTTGAAGTGGTGTCTGTGAGTATAAATCATTTAAGTTTATATGTTTTTGTTGCTGTGGCAACTGTTTGACTAATTGAATTCCAAAGTGTCTGTCTGTATTTTAGAGCTACGATAAAGGGCACACAGATTCTTAGCAGCAGGAGTCTGAAATGAGATGGGGGGAACAGGCAGCCCTGTCAAAATATGTCCTCAATCTCCTGGGCAGTGGTACCTTTGGCAATGGGCAAGGAGGACAAGGGCTGGGGAGGAGCCAGAGCTACCTGTGAGCTCTCACTGTGAGTACCATACTCAGAAATGGTGTTCATGCCCTTAGCAGGATGGGTAAGGCATGGAGAGCCTGTAACTTGGCATTGAGAAGATCATGTTTTACCTCTGTGCCTATTTTCCCCATAATTCATCAGTTCTCAGAGGACATGAAGTGCTGGTGTGCTTCATGGTTATAAACAAGCCCAGGTTGTAGTAGGTTCCATCTTCTTTCCATGGGGACTTCGAATGAGCTCCTGGGGCTTATCTGCTGTCTGAGATCATGCATGTGCTCCTAAAGGATTTCTTTCCCTGTAAGTTGTTAGCAGGAAAAGTCTCCTCAGAGCTATGCCAAAGGACTAGGGAATACTGAAGTGTCCTGAATCTCTCCAGGGATAATTTCTACCCTGTTCTCTCATTTTCTATTTTTTTTTCCTGCTGCAAAGCAGAGGTAGATATCCTCCTAGACTAAAGCAGGAGGACAAGTATTAAAACTTAACTCTTTGCAAGGAAATTGTTCTAGGTGGGTGCAAAGAGCAATTCCTTTGCAAGCAGAATGTTCCAGACAGGAACTGACCCACCTGTGCCATTCCCAGCTTGTTGTGGCAACAGGAATGGGCTCCTTTTTTTGTGTGTTAATTATGTAGGTGTTTATTATGGTCACAAAATGTTAATAGAAAGCCTAATGGAAATCATGCTGGCTAATGAGAAGCTCCTGAATACCTGCTGCTTTTCTCTGGGAATAACAAAAGCCACAATTCAATAGGAAATTATTTGTCCCATTCCTGCCCTGTGCTTTTACCTTGTGATTGCATCTTGTTGTTAACCTTTCATCTGACTCTCTCTGCAACCTGGGGGAAGGCCAGGACCTCTTCATCCCCCCTGCCCAGAGGGCATGCAGGGGTCTGCTTGGCTTCCCTGCTTTCTGAAGGGTAATCTGTGAAGGGTTTTATGGAGCTTGAAAAGGTCACAGGGAGCCCTGAGCAGATCAAGTCCTTCCATTGTCCAGTCTGGGGCAAGTGCCTGTGGCCTGACAGCCTCCTCAGCTGCTGTTTATTTTGGTGGAGTTTTATTTCCAGCCCAAAATAAAACTTGTTGAACAAGAGCAGAAGGCAGAAGAATGATGGGTTGGAGTAGGGGTATGTGTGTGTACAGGGTAGGGAGGGGTGTCACACTGGGAGGCTACTGGTGAGAAAGTGGGTGTGTGATGGATTGGGGGTGGGATGTGTTGACTTTTGGGAGAATGGGTGGATTTAGCTATGACCAAAATATGCCTTTGTGTTCACCCACACGTGGAGAGCACACACCTCTAACTTCCATAGGGGAGAACAGGTGTCCCTCAGGAAAATAAAAACCAAAATGAAACAAAAAAAAAATTTTAAAAAAGCCCAAACTCAGGAGGCAAAATCCATTGGTGATATTGGAAAGCTGCATGGTTGAAGCTGTGAATGAAGTAAGAGACTCTTCTCACCAGGCAATTCGGAAACTCCCAGCTGGGACCAAGTTTCACATTTTTTCCCTTGTGGGTAGAAATTGAATGCTTCTGTCTTTGCCTGCCAAAAATAATAGTTGAAAAAAAGGTGGTCTTACTGCTGCAGGAAGAGCCAAACATTTCCCTCATGGGCTGTCTGAAAGAACAGTTGTGAAAACACCAGATTTCACTGTAAAGGTGGGATTTCTCAACGGTGAGGAGCTGCAAATGAGGCATGTTGCAGGGTCCATATGGAGTTGCTGGTAGGAACTCAATACCAGGCTCTTGGAAGCATTTCAGAAGGGGCTTTCGGGAAACAGCAGAAAAGCAGTTCAAATGACTGGCTCTCAGTGATACAGAATGCTGTAAAAATAGCATCTGAGCATCTCCTGTTACCTGGGCACTGGTACCCAGATCCCGTCGAGTGATTTCTCTGGCATCCATTCTCCCTGCCTTGACATTAACGGGTTGTGCAGATTATTTTATGATCAATAAATATCCAGGCAGACACTGTGAAATTCCAATCAGAAAAATTTACAGCATTAAGGCAGATATTGTATAGCAGGATATAAATAAATAGAAATTGTCAGTCAAATTTCTGGCAGCTGGAGTCTGGTGTCAGTTGCAGTAAATTAGGTGTTACTTCACAAATCATCTTTATTGTTTTTTACAGTAAGTGTATCTGTGCAAAGAGGGGTTTTTTTCAGCTTGCAATGGTAAATATCCTCTGGTTCCTGTGATTTCAGCATGAAGCCTGGAATCAAAGGGAAACAAGTGACAGCAGTGGATTTTGCCATAATCCTGAGATTTGTTCCCAGCCCCAAGATTGGAGTTGAGTTTGGGTGCTGAGCAATCCAAGCAGCAAGAAGCCAACAACATGACAGAGAAGAGACTGGATCCTTCTAAGCCAAGGGGAAATTTCTGCACTCTGGGAGGGCTGATTGATGTAATGCTGCAGAGATCCACCAAAAGGGGAGGAGGAGAATGGAATCCTGTTGTCTCTACCAGGATGAAGGGAGCTGTGATTGGTGCAGGCTGCATCTGGAGGTAGGTGGGAAGGATGAATTGGACCAGCACAGAGATCATCATTTACTGCAGCTGGGACAGCATTTCACCTACAGATTATTACCTTTTGTTAACAACACTTACCAGCCTGACCAGCAACATAAAATCCCTACAACATCATGTGAAGGTTTCTGTACTGTTAAGATAACTGAAAATGGCATAAATTTTAAGTGTCAGTTTTCTATGAATTAAAGCTGAATGTTCAACATGGAACAAAGAGGAGAGGAGGACCTGCTGGTGGTAGTTTTGTACTTTATTTGAGAAGAGAGAGCTACATAAACTATGTCAGGAGGGTACAGGTCTACACATAGTTTCATCAATCAATAAATGGAGTTGTTAACGTAACACTGAGGATATGATACTTTGAAGAAGACATAGACACATGACCAAGGAGTATTTACAGCTCTAACATACAATATATTTATACTTGAGAGAGAGATCGTGTGCATCTGTACACACAGGTACCACTGTGCACGCTCGGTGCACGCACGCGCACACGTAAATAGGTATAAAAGGCTTTAAAAAAAACCTTACTTAGTTCAAGAAACGAGTCTGCCTGTCATCTGCAGCAACTGACTGTTTTCAAAGTGGAAATGGTTTCAGTTCAGGGTGGTCGGGAGTGGAGGTTTCGCTTTGAAATCTCTGTTCTCCATCGGCCATTGGCGGAACCTGAAGCAGGTGTCGGCTGGGGTGGGGTGGTGACAGAGGATGTGTGAGGTGAATGGAAGGGAGGGCACTGGAGTTATGGGAGAGAGGGGATGCACAGCCTCTGGGGCTGGGATAGTAACACGGAGATGAAAAAAATGACCTTTGGTGATGCCATTAAATCATCCTTTATACTAAACATAAATTATCAACACAGTTTTAAAAAAATAATTTTCTGTTTCATTTCAAGGCTGGGGAGAGAGGAAGGGCCAAAGCAGGGCAGGAAGGAAGGGAAGGTCTGGGGAGGGTAAATACCTCAGCACTTTAACAGGTCCCTGGACCTCACTGCAATTTCTTAATTTAAAAACTCTTCATGTAAGTGTGACTAACACTCTATCAGTCATCCCCTTCCAGGGTAGCCCAATGCACATGGTGTGGCAGGTAGGGGACAGACCTTGGCCAAAACTCAGATCAGAGTTCCTCATCCTCTGAGCTGGAGCCAGTGGAGGTGGGATGGGCAGGCAGAGATCACAGCTTCCTTGCTCTCACCAGATTCTCCCTTAAGGAGTAACTTGGCTTGCTCCCAGCAGGAGAAAATGGTGAATTTTGGTTTGGAGAAGAGGAGACTGCGGTTTGGAGAAGATTGAGAACCATCAATTCACTTCCAAAATGGCAAATAGGACTCACAAGATGCAAAAGAGGCCCCAGACTAAGCAAACATAGATTGGTGCATAGTGTAAAAAAAGTCTGCCAGAAAAATAGAAATCAATTCAACATAGACCACCAGATTGTTTTCTGCTCATGCAGTCCTTCCGTGACATTAGCAGAAATTAAAATTAGCTATTTTAAATAATAGTAACAACACAAATGCCATCAAAATATCTTTCCTCTGAGCCCCATCCTCCTCTCAGTTCCAGAGAGGTACTCTGCTACCTGCCACAGTGAGCTGTGGAGCAGCACCTTCTGAGGGCCAAGCCTGCCTGCACTGCTGAAGGGCAGTTCAGCTGGGAGGATGAGCAGTTGCCTGGAAATTGAGTCTACCCTTGCAGATTTCTGGAAGGTGCATTTCATGGGGTTTTTTTGAGGCCAGCACAGGAAATCAGAGTGATTTTTCTGCCTACGTCATCCTGTTGCCACACAAACCACTGACAGACAGCACTGCTTCAACACACAAACCTTGGAGAAATTACCAGAGGCAAGTGCACAGTGCAGCCCCTAAAAACATTCCCAAGCACAGCCTGAAGACCCCAAGACAGCCTTCACCCAAGAAAGTTGTGTATCCTCAATCTTTACCTGGGGAAAATTTGCCTCCATGCCTGACCCAGGAGATTCAGAGGGAATTGCAACATTCTTGGAAACCTAAATAAATGTTGATCGCTTTCCTGCCCAAAAATACTTCATTTCTCTTGAAATAACTTACATAATACAGCACTTCATTAAGACATGGTGGGGGAGGAGGAGGTAATTTAGTATAGTTATTTATTTTTGTTCTGCTTTAGGCCTATCTATGTAAAGCTCTCATGCAAAAAATTGCCTTCCAGTTTAGCTAAAAATTTAATGGACACTTCTGGTAAAAAATAATAGAAAACTTTTTTAAAAAGCCAATTCTCCCTTATACAAGGAATTAGCTGTTTGTGGGGGTTGAACTGAAAGATTGAGGGGAACTAAAACTATTTAGACTGTTAATACCGAAACCAGAGCTGTCAGAGAGCAAAATGAACGCAGTGAAAGCTATGGTGTTGGTAGGTTTGAAGCAGAAATTGTGGGCCTGGAGGAAGCCCAGCAGAACTGAAGTTTGGAGAATCAATCAGGACCAATTCGGATGAGAACCATCATTCTGTAGGGCCTCCTTCCTCACATCCATAGTTCTTCCCCAGCCAGGGCTCTCTTCTGCTTCACCACAGCTCCAATCTGACTTTCACCACCCTCTTGATCACTGACCCTTCACTGGGAATCAAGTCCTTGTCCATTTCCTTCTTCTCCCTGTATCCCAGTAGGCTTCTTTGATCCTTCCTCTTAGCATCATTTCTTCTCTAAGCCCCTTATTAAATTATCTTTGCCATCCCCTGCAAGCTCATCCTTTCTGACTCCCAGACAGCTCTAAGCATCAGAGGTCTGGCCTTAATCCCTTATTTTCAGTATTGCTACTTACAAGTTTCAAAGTCTTGTGTCTCAGACACTTCTCAGTCCTCTCTGTCTCTGAGTGTCCATCCACATGTCCCATTGTAGTAACTTCCAGTCACAGCTGGGGAGTGTGTGGGAGGTGGGATACAGAGGAAACTGCTTCTAGAAAGCAGCATATGTTGAGTGGGGGGAATAGCCCAACTTTCTGCCCTACTTTTCTGGCTCTTCTTCTCCACACTCCACAGGCATGTAATGAGCCTGCATGCTCCTGCCCAGCAGCTTCTCACCAGGATGAATAGGTCCAGGCCTAATTGGAGGGTGTTGCTTCCTTAGCATGATCCAGGAATACCTGTGGGATGAAATCCCAAATATGCAAGCTGAGCAAGATGAAAGCTGAAACATTTGCCTTTTCTTCCTCTGTGAGATGACTGCTTCTCCACTTGGGGCTCTGCCTGTTGGTGCCTTTGTAGCTCTTTATCTTCATCTGATTCTTCAAGGCCAGGGTGGACAGGGCTTTGTGCATTCTAGTTGGGTGGATAATGTTCCTGCCCATGGTAGGGGTGTTGAAACTAGGTGATTTTTTTAAATGTCTTCCATTCTATGATTCTATGATTATAACAACCCTGTACTACTCAGTAATATGACTTTTTTTTCTCTTTTTTTCTTTTTGGTGAACGTAACTTCCAGTGGCCACAGTGTCATTTATATGTCCCTTACTTGCAATTTGCCAAGAGATTTGTCTGTTTGCCCTTTACAAACAGTAAGTGCAATTGATGGATGAAATCTGAATCACATGATGCTTCCAATAAAATAAGGATTCTGTTTCTAAAGAGCTACCAGCATAGTATCTCTCCATTTGTCAAACTGTCTCAATGGATGAGAAGATAAGAACCTTCCACAGTCCAAACTAGAGTTGGAGCCTTCGTAGGTGGAACACCAGTGCAGGAAAAAGTGGGGCAGAGAGTTTAACTCTGAAGGAAAAACTGGTTCTCTCTTGCATTGGAATGATTGGTTTCTGTTTTAAACCATCCCTCCTCCACCACCTGAAAACAAGATACCATATAATGATTTCACACTAGAAAAACACATGGGAGAAACGAACTGTGGGTGAGACAGCAGTTCCGCGGGCAGTGTGGGCATGACTCCATCCAAAGTGGGATTCCTCCATGGAAGGCGCGGCTCCTCCCGCGGCGGCGGCCGGAGCGGGCGGTGCCGCTGTCCGCGGTGCTGATCCGCAGGGACGCGGCTGTCCGTCTGTCCGTCTGCTGAAATCTCCGTCTTACCAGGAGTCTGGGGACTGAACTGTTGTAGGCTCTTTGTGAACACTACTTGAAGCAATTAGGGGTTGTAATTAAAAAAATAAATAAAAGCAAGGGCACACCAGGCACTTGCTGCTGAGAGGTGCTGGGCTATAAAGCTGTTGCATCATCCAGCAGGATCCAGTCTCTCTCCACCTCTCCTAAATCTGCCTCTTAATTTCAGTCTCCAGGAAGGCCATAAGCCAGGATTTGTTCTGTATTAGCAGGAGAAGGAGAAAAAGGAAATTAAAAGTGAGAGGAGGTTTGAGCTGCTCTTGTCCTAGTGGCCAATGTTCTTGGTTACCAGGGTGAATATTCTGTGTCTTTTCTCATGTACAGCAGTGGATTTTCTTATATTATAAATCAACCACTGTCTTTTCTGATGTAATGTTTGTTGGTTGGGTTTTTTTTCCTCTTGTAGCATTTCTCTCTCTCCTGCCGTTCTGTTCCTAACAGTGCCTCTCAGTATCTACAGCTTTACTGACTTCAAAGTTGTGGGTCATCAACGCCTGCTACATTTAGCCTGGAGTTGCACAAGAAGGTTCAGTTGCACAGGAACAACAATTCAGTCTCTTGCTGATTTCTATTGTTTCAATCTAGCTACATAAGAATGAGGCCGGACTGGAACAGGTCACAGCCGGAATCAATCCCAACCATCTCTCCAGCAATCAGAACAACCTGCTGGGAGCTGAGTAACGGCTGAATTCTTGGTGAGAGAAATTATAGGCATAAAAACAAAATCAAATATACTCGTGTGCTCATTCAACATATCAAGGCATATTTATAGGTACTGCTGTATGGCATCTTAAAAATCGGAGTTTAAAAAGAAACTGGATCACTGCTGTTGGGGAAAATAATATTTCTGTTCTGCCACTTTCACTATCTCTGCCCTGATGAAAAAGGGAGAGAAAGACACTGAATTACACACCCATTCAGACCCTGTCATCACTTCTTTGGGCTGTTTGGATAGTCCTGGGAAGGATCTGTGAAGATAAGGAAATCTGAAGGTCATCTGAAGGTCATTCCTCAGCACTGGAGTAGGAGCAAGAGAGCTGGGCAGGAATCTGAAGCTCAAAAAAAGCTGGGGATATCTTCCTGTATGAGGAGGTGATGGCTCAGTAGGTGAACAGATGACTTTGCAGTCCTAGCTGAGACCCTTCCTTAGACTGCTCCACTGTATTCTTCTCCTGCACCCAAGTCCTGCTGTCATTGAGAGGAAAAGCTGAAATTTTACCACTGATGAAAATATCTACACAGGGGGAATATTTCCACCTTATTTCTTCACTTTTCAAGAAGACAGAATATTTGAGAATGTCTTAGATTTTAGGAGGGAGAATATCCTTCAAAAAATTTCCAGGATCACTGAAAAATGGACCTGCATTCATTACAGAGAGGTGAGGCAGAGAGCTACAGCCGCCAAGGCTTGTATTGTAATGGTGTGTGAGAAACAGCACTGAGCAGCTAAGAGTATTTGTCTTGGGAACTGTAGTCAGTGAACCTTGGGTGGGAACCAAGCTAAATCAGCAAACTTGCAGTTGGTCCAGGATCAGAATGAGCTAAAACTCCTGTATCGCATGCCTGAGACTCAATTACTGTGTAATCTCTGTGGCATAGACATCTAGGAACCTCTGTGGATAGCAGATGGCTGCTGAATGGTGAGAGCAGATGACAGATCCTGGGCAGTGCTAAACCGGAAGACCTTAAATCCTGATTACAAAAGTCAGTTCTTGAGGTTAAATCAAGCCAGGCACCTGAGCAGGAGGGATTCATGGAGCATTGCACAAAGCCAACACACTACCAGACATGGGAGGGCTCTTGTAAAAAGCTCCACCTGCCCTCCTCTCCCCAACACACATTCACATATGCTGCCACATACAGGAAAAAATATCAAGGTTATGTGTTTCCTGAAATATGGTTGGCTGAATAAATACACTTACTGAGAACTCTTTGTAAAACAATAGCAGAATGAGTAACAGTGCATCGCTGCCATGGGAAATAAAAAGGAAAGTAACCCAACTGCAATTCAGCTAGAATCATTCCAAACCCCAAAGGTTGGCCTCTTTTTTTTTTTCTTTAATGTGTCTGACATTTTATGGCATCAATAATGCAAACAAAGAGGAAATCATATTTGCAGAACACTAATGCACGGATGTCTAAAGCGAAATACAATACTGATTACTTTTTAAATGAAGCCACCAGGTTTTGATGTGCTGTGGTGGTTAAATTGGTCCATCAAATTCCTTCCAAAGCAAATTCCAGTCCAAAGCAAGAGCTTGACCTTTTCTATAACCTTGGGTAGCCTTTTCAGCTGTATTCTGATTGGAGGTAATAAATGTTAGTTTGAAGGAATCCTCCTGATGGGTCGAATTACAGAAATGTCACAATTCCTCCTGAAGTTAAGGGGAAACTGAAGATATCTCACCTCTTCACAGGCTGTCCAAAACCTTTGGCAAATATAATGGCAAGGCTACTGTGAAGAGCTGTGGGTGAGAGGAGAGATGGGCTCTGAAAGATATTTGTAGATGTACTATTGGAATTTTGCCCTTAGGGCTAGTGGTTGATCTCTTCAGCACCTGATAGATTTTCACTCGCCTAGAACCTCCTGCAGATGACTGCAGAGCAATGTCTGAGTGGGAAAATAAGTGAATGAATAAGCAGGTGTGGCAAAACTATACAAAGAAACCTTCCCTTTCTTTTCTATATTTTTTACATGATAGTGTGGGTTTTTTGGGGTTTTTTTCACAAAGTTATTTTCAGAGATGCATCTTAAGAACCACAGACAGGATTGTCTCTGCTAGCACAAAAGTGAAGAAGCTGTTGCGGTCCTGCCTAGGAAATCCCACTGCTCAAGCTCCTCCTACAGCAAAAGACAGAAGGACTTGGGGTCAGGCCTATGCTTTCAACTTATCAGCAGCAGCATTCATTTCTGGAGCCAAGGGGCTTCTTTTGCAATGTCCTCTGGCTTGCACTGAGTTAACTCTGTGCATTTCTTTAATTCATGCAATTGTGGTTTGGTAGGCAGGGCTCATTTTGTGCCTGTGTGCTGGTGAGTAGGATTGGATGCCACCATCTCACATCAGCTGGGAGTTTGTCTGCCATTTAGATCACATCTGATCAGAGCTTTGTGTTTGGGGATTGTATGTCTTGGAAATAATCAGTGCAAGCAGCTAATTGCCTCTAGTTAACTAGTGCCTTTTAATTAGGACTGTACTGCTGGCTGGATACATGAAGGGAGCTGTTTGTCACTGGCAAAAATTTCAGCCTGTGATGTAAACCTCTTTGGGGAATTAGAAAAAAAAAATACAGGCTGGAGCTATTGTCACTTTAGCACAGCAGAAAATCAGTTTCAGCAGAAGTGGCCTGGATGAGGTTGGAGTCATGCTTTGCTGGGGTCAGAAATGATAGCAGCTGCTCCCCAACCCTTCCTCCTGTGCAGAAGGGTGGGACACTGTGGGCTTCAGCTGGGATTTACAGGAGATACCCCACATGCATTACAATGAGCGTTGCTGTAAAATTCACTGCACAGAGGTTAATCTAGATGTCAACACTGCCTGACAGCAGTGAAATTACTCCGGGGCAGTGCTCCTTCTGAAGTCTTAATATAACAGTCAATTCCATCCTGCCTGCAGGAAATGAAAGTTTTCTGCTTTGTGTGCGGAATCATCCGGCGCCAATTTTCTCACTGTTTGAAGTCCAAACTGTTTGTGGTCTTGGGATTCACCTCACATTAAGACTTGCACTTCATTTAAAAACTCTGCTAGTCAAGTCCTGAGAACTGCAAGGACAGGAGCTGCACAGGGAGAAAAAGAAGAGGGCATGGAGGGAGAAATCAGATCTCACCTACCACACTGAAATCAAACTGCTTCACCAGTCCTCTGAGCTCAGTAGAGGGAGGGAATGCAGAAACTCAGTTCTCTGAGTATCAAGCAGCAAAGACTGGAGAGGTTGGAAGCCAGCAGAGAGCAAGAGAAAACATGCAAGAAGACATTTGGACCGCCCAGAGCTATGATTTTCTTTAGAGGTATTTCAGCCCTTCCCTGCTGGGACCTTGTCCTAAGCTGCCAGTAGTTCTGCAGTTAAACTCCCCCTCAGAACAACTGTTCCAGTTTCCAGCAGTGGGATCAGTCACTTGTGCTGGGAGGGAGAGCAGTTCCTGTGGAGGACTCCTGACAGCGTGGGGAAGCAATGGTTAGATTTGTGATGCCTCTTCCCCTTGCAGAGATGCTAAAATTGTGGGGCTAACAGAAGGGAGGAGGAACCAATGGTCATTCCTTTAGTTTGGAAAGAGCTGTCAGATTGGGTCCATGTAAACCCGAGCCTCCAACATGAAAGCGATCTACCAGCTTACTTAACTGTTGGGGAAAGCTGGAATATTTTGTCCTTCCTTCTTTTCAGTCTCTTATCTCTTTCCACAGTTCAGTTTTTTCAAAACTGCAAGCAATAGGACTCCAGTCACTTCTCTCAGGGAGCAGTTTCATGGCTCAGTGTTGCATGGGAAAGGAAAAAGAGGCACAGGAGAGATGGAATTCTCCTCCATTCCTCTCAGAGCAGCGACTGACATCTCTGCCTGTGTCATTTATGACACTGTCAGCCAGAACAGATGTTTTGAAAACACCTACTTTCTCCAGGCTTGAAACTCAATATCTCTACTTTCAAGGACAGCAGCAAAGGGAAAAGAATTTTTAGGATTTAGCGGCTATGTAAATATTAAATGGGTACTGATGTAAGAGACGCCTTGGTGCGGGAGTGGAGAAGCTGCCTTAGACTTAAGCAAGTCTATCCACTCCTGAAAAGCAGTGCTGAGGAGGGAATTTTCTCTTCTTCTATTTTTGGTACTCATTTGGACACACCACCATATGCCAAGGGTCCATGAGCCCACCATTCATCAGAAAGCCACTGAACATAAATGGAGAAGAAAACTTGTTTTCACCAAGACACGCCTGTGCCTGTGAGTCTCAGCCTGTTGATGTCCAGAGCCTTCCAGCTATCAGAGGAGCCACCACAGTGTGGTATCACAGCCAAGATCTCCTTTATTTCCCTTGCTTATTCTCATCATTGCCTTACAGCCAGAGAACACACCTAGAGCTGTTACAAAAACATTGGGTACAAGCCATGGCTGTAGTGCTTCAGCTGATTCCTGGCCAGATCAGGAAAGGATGTAGATACTCCCTGGGGAGGGAGGAAATTAGAAAGATTTTAAAAAAAAATTAAGATAACATGCTGAACAAACTGTTTTCACACAGACTGGCACACGAATGAATGCTGATCAAGTGTTCCAAACTACCTCTGGCTTTGGGGGCTTGTGGTGACCGTGTCTGCAATCTTCACCCCATATCCTGAAGTAAGGAAACCTACACATTTGAGTTCTGGGAAGTAAGAGCCTTTCACGTGAAAGGAAACAGCTCATATGATACTTCTGTCTGTGTCCCTGAAACAGCATAACTTTTGAGACCTTCTTTTAGTTGTATTTTCTTACAGGAAAAAAAAAAAAAAAGTCACAGAAAACCACAAAGCCTAGTGATTTTGTTTCCCACCTGTATAAATGGTCCCTTGATTTTATTGGTTTCTGCCTCCTTTTTAAACCAGTATTTGCCCAGCTTCACAGATAACTTTTCCTGGAGCTGCAGTACATTGCTATTTTCTTTTGTTTTTGCTTGTACCCATTGTGCTACTTAAAATTCTACACCACACTCCCCAAATCTGTCTTGATTTCCCAACCCAAGATACTCAGTTGCCTCCTAAAACCAGCTTTTCTCTTTCCTTGGCTCTTTTATTCCTCCACACATTTTCTCACCTTGTTCCACCCACTCCTTGGGACAAGCAAACAGCTCAGAGCTAACTATGTCTCTCAAGCAAGCAGCCCATTTAAAGGCATTCCACAGTTTTCACTTTTGTCTGAGCAGCAGAGTTCCCAGAGTCACCCATCTGCAATTCAGCACCCTGCAGACCCAAGGATAGGCAGTTCAGACTTTTTCACCCCCCCAAAATCCATGCACTGAGGGACATTTGAAAAAGCCAGATGGGCAAGTTTTGCAGGAGAGAGGATGGACATTCAGTCTGGCAGATCTCTGCATCTCTTCCCTTTGCTGCATTTCAGCTTCTGTCTTGCAACCTGACAGACTGGGGTGGAAAGAAATAATGGCAGGAGAAAACAAACCAGGTCACTGATGAGACCCTGAGGCTGGAGCCACATTCACTGCCTGCAGTTTGCAGCCCTGGCACAAAATTTCCACCTGTACCATGCACCAAAATAACACCTTCACTTCCAAGAAAGCATCACTTCAGTGACACCCTTGGGTGACTGAGCTGGCGCAAACAACTTTTATTTTTAGGGAGCAGCATGCAGCTGGGACAGGGAAGAAAGACCCTATGGCCCCTTCTCAGCTGTGCTCAGACTGGTGTTCCTTCCAGTTCCCTTTCACAAGTCCCTTGAGAAAACTGCAGCTGGAAGAGGCTGGGTGTTGTGAAGGTCTGCCTGGATGTGCTGGAAATTTGGGCTGGCTTGCCCCAGAGCTGAGTGAGACATGTTCCCAGGCAGCAGAGATAGCTCTCTGCTCTGAGGAGAGGCAGGGCATAGGGAAGTATCTCTCTGAGAAATAAAAAGCATGAACTCATTTCTCTTTGACTCCAAACACTCAGATGTTGATACTCTGTGAGAGTTTCCCCCCAAAACTTCTTTTCTTCTCCTCATGCATAGCCCCATCACAGAGCCCCTCTTCCTACAGGGAAGATCACCAGTCCATGCTGATGGGAAGCTCTCTTCTGTTCCAGGAAAGGTGCTTCTGGAAACGAGGTCTCAGGGTGTTCACCAGGAATGCAGCACAGCTGCTTTCCCTCTTCCCCCCCAAAACTGTCATGCCAAAAAGGAATGCAGCAGTTTCTATCATGTGTTTGAACAAAAAGCCATCTTCTCCTTGCTCCCAACAAACCTCCATCCAACAATGACAGGCCAAGGGGGCCAGAGCAGATGTCACAGGACAGAACTGCAGCTTATCCAACTCTTCTGAGCAACAGTTCACAATTAACTCTGATGGAAGGACCTTTCTCCAAGGCTGTCACTGCCCATGGTGGGGCTAAGAGCAAAGCAGCCAGAGCCTGAGCATCTCACCACCTTCTTCAGTCATTTTCCATCTTCTGGGGATACATAAACTCTCCTCACAGGCCAACTAATCCTAGACAAGCAGCATCAAGGCTCAGTGTCAAACTTGGCTCCTGAGCTCACCTCGTTGTTGTGACAGCACAAAGAGGTGGTGAAAGGGACAGGGTGGTGGTGCTGGGGAGGAGGGGAAGGAGGAAAGAAGTGAGGAAGGGAGGATGTAGCTGCTGTGCAGCTGTGATGAAGGAACCTCATCAGTTGGGAAGCAGTGTCTGTAAGTGACTTCGCAGTGTAAAAGCCCGTGACACTGGCCAAAAAAAGAAATGACAGCATGGGAGTGAGAGAGAGGAATGAACAAAACTGTGGCCTTGTGCAACCTGGCACAGTACCTGGGAGCCACAAGAGCAAGAAGCCACTTGGGGTAAGAGATAGCCTGCCCCCCGAAAGGATTTTCTCCTGGAGATGCTGGACAATTTACAGCCATTGCTTATTCTCTCCTTGTGATGAATCTCCAATCTTTTCACCCAAGCAGCCTGCACACAAAGGGAGCCAGGCTGAGGGCAGCAACCTTTTAAGCAGTGTTTTCCAAACCTTTCCAAGTTGGTCTTAAGTAGGCAGGATATCCTCTCCCAAAAGAGCAAGATCCTGCTATGGAGAGGCAGCATGGTACAGCATTCCTGTGTGTGGACTCCTGGTGCTGGCCCACTGCCTTGTCCATGACCATGGCATCGCTGGTGATGCTGTGAGCACCTGGTGCCTGTTCAGTGGCAGTCTGTCCAGGCCCCACTGGCATGAGTCTGTCCCAGATCTCTCTAACAGGCAGAGGAAAGTCATGTCCTCACTCCCGTGTGGCTACTGCCACCCACCATCTCCCACCCCAGGCTCTCACTGCACATTACACAGACACAGAATAAACCCATAGCTGCTGTTGCCACCACAATCCTCCTTTTTTATCTGAAACCATCAGACAGGTCATGCCAGTGCATGAGCGAGAGACTGTCAGGAGACATGGGGATTGGGAGAGGATGCAAGATCTTCCCTTTCAGTGCCAGCCATAGCCAGTCACCTAGCTGCCCTTGCATCCTGGACATGAATATTGCTCTGGCCATGGGGAAGGAGCCAAGATCCCTTCTCTGTCTCCTCTTCCCCCATCTGCATTGCCTTCCACAAGTGCCACATCTGAGCAGGCTATTTTTGTGCTGGCAGTTGTTGCCTTCTCAAAATTGCCTTGACAATGCCTGTGCCGCCCGTTCCCTGCCTCCTGAGAGCAGCTGCCAAGCTGAGGTTCCCCCTCATCCTCCATTATCCATATGAAAAAAAGGCCCAGAAAGGTTTTGTAATCTCAGCCCAGTCCGGACAGGCAGGATTCAGCATCTGACTGTCTCCCCAGGTCAGGAGTATTTTCTGCTCTGGGGGGATCGGCCATAGTGAGGATGCTGCTGTCTCTCCCTCCCTGTCCCCACCACCCCCTGTTGCTGCCTGTCAGGCCTTTCTCCTCATTGAGATGCAAGGCTGGCCGCTGCGGCCATCCGCTGAGCCGTCTGCTCCTGGAGGCACCTTCCCCTCCTTCCCCCCTCCTCCCGGGGCTGCCTGTGGAGCTATTCTTCAGCCTCTGCATTTCACAACAGCTCAAAGGCAGATGCATCAATCCTTTCAGGGGATGGGGACGTGAGGAGAATGGCAAGGGAGCTGCAGGCAGGTGTTGGTAGGTTCCCAGCCATCTCACAAGCCTGGTCCCCCTCCCTGTCTCCCAATGGCTTGTGCCTGAGGCTTGGACTGAGGCGTGGGGCAGGAATGGGGAAGGGGAGAGGATGGGGGGGAAGAGCGCTGGGATATGCTGACCCCACAGAATTCCCAGCAGGCGTTTCCCAGCTGTCTGCACCCTATAGCCTTTCCCCCATGCGGAGAGCAAGGATCCAACCCTGCTCACCAAAAGTTTACACCGGGGGCCGATTTGGCCCTGGTGCAGACAGCTGAGGGTGGGGGAACAACCCCATGGCCACCAACCAACCCCATGGCCACCAACCAACCCCATGGCCACCAACCAACCCCATGGCCACCAACCACCCCCATGGCCACTAACAGCCATAAGGGCGGGGTGGAGTGGGGTTGTTCCTCCCGAAGTGACGCCTGTGCTGGACGCCCTGGGTGAGCAGCACTCCTGTCTCACACACTGGAGTGGGTTGGGGATGATTTGGGACCGGGTCCCCAGGGCCACCCCTCGACTCCCAGGCTTGGTCCTGGGGCTCTCCCAGCTCTGGCAGTGGCTGGAGGGCTGGGGCAGGAGCCTGCAGCCCATGAGAGGGCGGCTGCTCCCCGGTGTGTGTTTTACCCGTAGGTGCCACAATCCTTTGACTGTGTGTTTGAAAGCCTTGAGTCTATACATTTAAGAATCAGCAAATTAGAAAAATTGTCCTGAAATGTTGGAGGGAGGAAAAAGGCAGGAAGGCAGAAAGGAATGAGGAGGGACTAAGAGGAAAGGGTTGGTAAAAGAGAGTTCATCCAGGGGCACTGCCCTGGCTTTGTGCCCATCACCTGCGGGCTGGCAAGGAGGGAGGGAGGCGAGGACGAAAAGGGAGGACTGATTTCACACATTCAGTGCATATCATACAACCAGGGCAAGGCTTTCTTCCTGCAGCTCCTACCCAGGATGGCATCGCTGCCACAGCCAGTCTAGAGCCCTGCCCAGCTGCCCGAACCATACTCACAGCAGGGTTACATTTCACTGCTTGATTGCTCGGGGGAAAGATACCTTCTCCTTTCTTTATCTTTTTTTTTTTTTTTTTTAATTATATATATATATTTTTAAGTACTTTTTCTCCCTTTTTTGTTTCTTTTTTTTTTTTTTTAATATATAGTCTCACAATTTTCTGTAACAGCAGCTTCTTTCTGTATTGGTGTGGAAGTTATATAGAGAGAGATATCTATAAATATATATAAGCCAAACTGCCTTACAGGTTGTTGTTCTGTGGGATTTTTGTTGGTTTGCTTTTTGTTTTGCTTTTTTTTGTTTTCAGTGTTGTATGTGTAGCAGGCACTTGAGTTTATATGAAGATGTTTGCTTGGGAGCTGAGGGGAAAAGGGTTTGGGAGGGGGAGAGGGAAGGAAGGACGGGAGGAAGGAGCAGGGACTTCCAACAAGTGGCCACTGCTAGCCAAGGATGTCCAGGTAGATTGGTGTGGCCTTGCCCAGAGCATGGAGGATCTTGTAGATCTCCTTGATGTTGAGCCGTTGCTGAGGTTCCCTCTGCCAGCAGCCCAACATGATGTCGTAAACCTCCTTGGGGCAGACTCGGGGCCTCTCCAAAACTCGGCCTTGGGTAATGCACTCAATGACCTGAAAGAAAGAAAGAGAGAAAAGAAACACTGAACACCAGCTGGGCAGCTTATGGAGGGTGTCCTGTCCTTGAGACTGCTTGGCTGATGTGGCACCATTTAGTGAACGGGAGCACTGAGAAGCCAAATATCAGATCTGCACATCCTCAGTGATCACCAGTTTGTTGCTAATGATGATTTTACCATGAAATGTTTGTCTTCACCTGCAGTTTTTCAGGTCCCAAAAACCTTCCCCGTTTGACACCTACCTACCTCAATGCACTCTCCAAAGAGGAGGTCACAAGCAAATGAAATAGGTTTTAATTTATCATGTCAGTTTTTCCTGCTAAATGAAGAAGGAAAAAAAGTCTTAAAACCCCCAAAGTACAGAAATATTTTGCACAGCTGAAATTATATTTTTCTTGTCTGAAAACCAAGAGTCCTTTCTATTGCAAAGCCCAGGAGAGGGTTATAAGGAAGAGTTCAGAGCATCTCTTCCTACATACTTCTCCTCTCTCTGACATAGAAAAGCAACTAAAATAATGAAATTTCATGTCAAATCACATCTGTGAAGGAGAAAAAAAAAAATTTACAATGCTATCACTCTGTTTTGGGTCAGATCCGTGCTACTAATGAGAAAAATGTGAGGTCGTGGATAACAGTTAAATCTCTTCGGAGGGATGCCATTGGAAAGGACTCCCTATGGGTCTCTTTGTGTACTGTTTACTGGAGGAATGAATGAAAAGGAAAGGGAAATATGAGTTTCCAGAGAGCTGCTATTACTGCCTGGCCTCCTTGGTTGGGGTTGATGAGTCCCAGCATTGCAGCGTGCGAGCGGCCTGCCACGCTCTGCAGATAAACACCAGTCCCAGGCAGCATGTGGAGGGAAGCCACCCAGCAAGAGGTGTTTGAATTTTATCATTTATGAATAGAAATGGTCCCACCATGCAGCTCAAGGGACACTTATCACTGTGCTGTTTGCATATAAATACAGAGGGGAGAGATTAGGACCTGCTGAAAGCAAGGAGAGCAAGAGACAGCATGAAGAGAAGCCTGCATTGCCACAGAGCTGCTGGATGCTCACTGTGGGGAGGAGGTGAGTTATGGTTCCTGTCAAGATATCCTGGACATGCACAGGAGCCCTGTGCTGGGCTCTTGCTCTCCAGGGCAAAGGAAAAGCATAAAGAGAAGTTAAAGGACTGGCTGAGTGGTGCCCTGCCTCATTCCTCTGCTCAGAGAGGGTTTCTCCCATCCTTGGAAAATGCTGTGGGGTATGAGGCCATGCAGGTGGCACAGGAGGGAGTGGGCATCCCAGCCTTGCCAACACCAACACCCAGCAGGGGCGATGCTCAGCCAGCCTGGTGCTGCTCCTGGTCCAATCCTGGCAGCCAGGAGCTTGGCACAGGCTCATTGCCCTGTCCCTCCATGGGCTCTGCCTCTCCATGGGGCTCTGGCACTTCACCTGGACTGCCACAGCGACTTGCTCTGATGCCACAGCATCCAGGAGCTGGTGGAGGTGTCAGTCCTCTGCAGCCACATAGGTTCTGCCCATCCCTCCACAAGCTGTGAAAAATGAGACTGATGAGAGCTAATGTGGCTCCCTCCCTCAGGAGTATTCCACCAGGATACTGTGGTCAGCAGGCAGAAAGAAGTGGACACACCAATAGGTAAGGGAAGGATCATATTTTATCCCAGGGATGGTAGCAAACAAATACACCCTCAAGATTAAGGGTGGCTGTTTTCAGCCCTATTGCCCTGCAAAGGAAACTGAGGCAGGATGCATGGGCAAAGCCAAGCTGTCACGCTCCAGCGTGCCTATTGCCCATGTTCAAGCTCTGTGTGCTCATTTGTGTGTGTTTGTATTTGCCCTCACAGGGAAATGCAAGAGCAGCTCATTAAATAGTGTGACAAATAACTTCTGTCGCTGTCGATTCCATTGTTTGTGCCTCTAAAATGTTTGCGTGTGCTACTTTGGGATGTACAGTCAGGCCCCATTGAGCACACGGATGGGCAAGTATTAGAGCTGTAAAGCAACACCTTGGATTTGCCATCTCTGCAACTCACTTAATTAAGGGATCTGTATCCAGAAAGCAGAAAATGCACATTTTTCATTACAAAAGGTGAAATTTCTGAAATCCATTAGATACACAGTAGGATAAAAATGTTCAAGGTTCCCACACACCGCTACGTCAAAGCATCTTTTTCCTCTTCTATAATACCTCCTGCTATTCCAAGCAAAAATCTTCCAATGCATTTCTGCTGATGTGCCTCAAACCTCAGCAGTGACACCCTGCTAATCCCAGCCAGCCTTCCCTCAACATTTTTACAGTGCAGCCCTGTCCTGGTGGGCTGCAACTTTTGCTAGTCAAAGAAATAACAAGGGCAAACAAGCTCCATGGGTTCCACCCTCAGTGAACTGGGGCAAACCATATTATAGATAACCCAATGGCAAAAACCCCAAGGAAATGTGCCACATGAGATATATCAGGCTTAAAACAATGTCTCACAAACTGCAGCCTGCAGTGAGCTTTAGCTGCAAAAGGAGAAACCAGGAAAATTCAAGGCATGACTTAGATCTCAGCAGTAATTTGGGTATCCCCAGTTCTGGCAGCACCCCAAGAGTTTGTAAGATATGAAAGATACGTCAGGAACTTAGCAGCGAGGGGCTGAGGATTAGCCAGTACGTGGCTTTGGCAGAGCTCTTTGATTCCTGCAGGCCCCAGTTTTCCCAGCTCTTGAACTGAGATAATGACACTTATCCTACAGCTTCAGCATGGGAGTGCCAAGGAGGGGACCATCCATGTACAAATTTCATTGCAAACAACCTGGAAAGGAGAGACAGCAAAAAATACAGTTTTCAGCTGAGGTGTCTCAGCACTGTTGTACCTCTGTGTTTGAGAGCTGGAACCAGGGCTGCTTCCCATATGTGAAAATCTCCCAGAGGATGACCCCGAAGCTCCAGACATCACTCTCTGTGGTGAATTTCCTGTACATAATGCTCTCCGGAGGCATCCAGCGGATAGGCAGCATGGTGTGTCCTCCAACCTGGGTGAGGACAAAGGCACAGGGACATCTCAGTGGTGACAGTCCTGAGGAAGGGCTCATAGAATTAGGCCATTGAGTGAAGCTCCTGGCCCTATGCAGGACACCCCAACAATCACACAAATGTGCCTGAGAGCATTTTCCAAATGCTCCTTGAGCTCTGCCAGGCTTGGAGCTGTGAGCACTTCCCTGTGGAGCCTGTTCTGGTGCCAGAGCACCCCATGTCATGTCAGCTGTGACATCATGTGCACAAAATCAGGGCCTCCCTGTGAACTATAGCAACAAGGAGTTGTTCCAAAAAGCTGGGCTGGCTCCTGTCCGCCCTACCACTCGTGGGTTTACCCAGCAATCCCACCTGGTTAACACCACGCATAGGGAGTGAAATGTATCAAGATGAATTACATCCCCTCCACCCAAAATGGGCTGGTAAGGCAATCAAAGGCAAAATGCCAAGAACACACTCCAGCCCCACAGTCTGGTGAACCTGGACACAGAGCAAGAGTGGTCAGCAAAGCATTTCAGAGCCTCAGTACTCTGAGACACCCACCAGATAGAGCATGAGGGCTGTCCCTCTTCAGAAAGGTTCTCTAAAAGCCATGCACAGGCATCTGTGCATCACCTAATTGCATGAAAGCGTTTGCACTCACAAAACCGTGCAACAGGCCTTTTCAGAGACTGCTTTCCATATGTAAATGACTGCAGGACCACCCTGCAAAATGTGGTCTGCAGGTAAAGAACAGGCTCTTACAGGCAGGGATATGGCCATCAATTAATGGAGGAGGGAAAACCAAATTCTTTGGAGAGTTTGGAGCTGGATGTATAAAACTGGGGTATGCCAAGCCAGGGAAAGGCAATTCCCGAGGTAAAAGTCAACCCTTCTGTAAGGCACATGAATCCAGCAGGCACACAGGAGGCTTGCAGGATACATGCAAACAGTTCCAGAATAGATGGATTTACCTTCAGCTTCACTAGAGATTCCTAAACAAGTTTCTCTGAGCGGGACAAGTTTTTCTCTGTGCTGTCTTTCTGCACAAGAAGCTCCATCTGTGGGGAAACAGCTAATTGCTATGGCCAAGCAGTGCTGGAAGCAGCAGGGCTGCAAATCTCCACACTTTTTTCCGCTGAGGGCAAAGTGTCCGAGGCTTTAGCAGTGATGAGAAAAGTGCTTTTGTGGAGCTGCTTGGATGATGCTTGTCTCATTAGGGACACCAAAAAAGCAATGCTAATAACTTTGTAGCACTGCAGCTGAATCAAACAGGCAGAAATCTTTCTGGTCCTACGAAGGATGAGGGGAGGCAGTGTCTGCTGTCTAGGATTCCAGCATATGTGTGCCTATTCCAAGTAATGAGATTGCTGTGCTCGCTCAGATGAAAACATTTCTTTTACAAACAAAAGCTCTCCTTTGAGCTGCCAGTTTTTCCACAGGTTTGTGTGGCTGATTAAAGCAGGACTGGTGTGGGAAAGGGTCAGTACAGGGACATTGCAGCACTTGGAAGAAAGAGGGAGGTGTGTTGGAATAAGAGTGTGAAAGGGGTAGGATGCTCAGCTGGCTTTCTGCATGGGGGGGCTCAGATTTCTGTGGGGTTTGGCAAAATTTACACTCAGGCTTGCAGAGTTGTACTCAGAGGGCTGCAGACCAGCCCTTTCCCTTACTCTGAAACTGACCCTCCCTCAAAAAAGAGGATTTTTAAAAGTCTCAGGGAGATCTTTCTTTCCTAAGTGCAGATACTTGAGGATAAAAAGCTCACTGCAGCTCCACACCTCCTGTTTTGAGGTGGCTTGCCTGGCGTGTTCTCATCTTGCTGCTCTGAACTCCCAAGAATGTTCTGCTGTAATGGAAATGGAAATACGCTTTTCTTTGTTTGTTCCTTCAAAACCCTGGCTGCAAATTTAGCTCTTCCCTACATTCCCAGCTTTTACAAGGTTGCTTCCCCTTCTTGCAAAGGGCTCTGAGGAAATATTATAAGCAGAACAGGACATACATCAAACTTGATTGCTGCAAAAACTGTTTTGTGCTAATGCTTATTTTATTCTCCTTTAAGTAGCACTAACTCTTCAGTTTTCCAGCAATCTCAAAATGATTACTTGCTGAAAAGCTCTCTACGTTTGCAATATCCTGAATCTTGCAGGATCATTTGTGATTATAGGTAGCACAACGTCCTGAGCACAGTTAACTCCTTTTTGAAGAGGTCTTGGAGCAGTTGAGGATGTGTGAACCAGGCCCTCAGCTTACACAGACAGTACCACAGCAGCACTGCCCAAAATTGAGGGTCCTGATTTACACAACTCAAGGATGTGGCCCTGGAAACAGAGCAGAGAAGCCAGCAGTGCCATCTCAGTTCTAATAAGCTAAAATAAAGTCAAGGTCTTTGATCTCCTCTAGACACACTCTGGTGAAGGCCTGCCAGCAAAATGACACACACAGTCAAGATCTGTCCCAAGGATGTGACAACACAACCTTGGCTTAGCTCATAGGTTGGAGTTCAGGAACAGCCAAAGCATTCCTCCCAGCCACGTGAGACACAGCTTTTACTACAAATTAACCTGGTAATAATTAATAATCAAATTAATTTGGGGAAGATAATTCAAACAAGCAATGCCCAGAAATTTGTGGATACCAAAAACATCTCTCAGCTATGCTCAGAGATGAGGTGCTCCTTGCAGAGGCATCCTTTGCATCTCAAACAGGGTGCCACATTTTTGAGAGCAAAGATTAAGCCTTGCACTTACCAGCCATAAGCAAAGCAGGCATCAATTAAACTCTACCATGAAACCACTCCAATGTCTAACGCAGCACATAAGGCTGACTATTACACTTTAAAGGATTGCCTTTGACTATCCCTTACTGCTTCCCTTGCAAACTGATTAGGATTAAAGTTCCCATTTCACAGATGAGAAAACAGATGCAGGAAGGCAGGGAAGGCCCTGCTCTGAAGCTGTGCAGTAAGTGAGCACCAAGTCCTCCTGGCCTGCAGTCAGCCATACCCTGTTATTTGATGATGTAGCAAAATGATTTAGAGCTGAGCACAGAGGGACTGTGCTAGTGATGCCACAGGAAGCAGAGTGTGTCCAGGGTGACAGAAATCCTTTGCATAACATGTAGTGATTGTGAACTGTGTTCTGCCACTGTAGATTGGCACGTGATTCCCACAGCTACACACTTGTTTTACAGGACCAGCCATTGCCAGAAGCATAAAAGCAAAATGATGCTATTAAATCAGGCTGAAAAAATGGGTGCTGTTTTCTTCTTTTGCAAAGCCAGCTTACAAGGCATATCTTTGGCTTTGGAAAGAATCATTACCATGCCTTTAGGGAGAAGGTGAAAGTTTATTTCAGCCTCTGCTTGCTCAGAGCTGAGTCTAGCAGGCTTCAAGCAGGCTTCAGAAATAAGTGACCATGCAGGACTGGTGTTTGTTAAGAGCATGCTACTTCTAGAACTTCTCTAAAGCAGCCATGTCATCTTCCCACACCACCATCTTCTCCATTTGGGAGCTAGGGCTGGGAGAGCCCTGCTAAGGGGCAGACTCACCTTCCCCAAGGGTAAAATGTCCTGAAACAGTGGCATTACAACATCCCCCCTGGAGACACTCCACAGCTTAGAAGAGGGCTCTACTTGCAAGCAAATAAGACAAGTAAATCCTCTTCTGCTCCTCTCTTTAAATCTTATGATGCTGCCAAGCTTGCCCTTTTGCCTTGTTATTTTAATGCTTCACAGGTCTGCAGACTGGCCTCCTTATCCTATTGCCATGGCTGTCTAGCTTTGTTTGACATTTTTAGCTAACTTTGTCTCCCTGGATCAACTCCCCATGCCCACACTGACACGTTATTCCCACTGCTCTGCTCTTTCTGTTCATGATGCTATCCTGGCAATAAATAGAGCAATCAGTGCACATCCTCTGAGCAGCCCAAGTTTTCTTCGTCTCCATTTCAAGATCGCAGTATCACCTACTCGATTCTATCCCTCTCTAGTGGATGCTCCCAAGGGCATGACCTGGTCCACAGCCCCATGTTTCTGATACTCCAGGGCACCTGGCCCCTGCTCCGAAGGCTCATTACACATCCAAGCCCATGGACTTGCAAGATAGCCAGCCCCTCCCTCTGAGCAGCTTATTGCTGGATTAGATATGAACCTCGGGGAGCTGGGGGAGGTTCATGAAAGGCCAGCATTAATGGCCATTAGGGAGAGAGATAATTACTTAATGCTAGTACAGCACTTTGAGGATGTAAAGCTATATAAGTGTTATGTACAAGTAGTATTATAAGGCTTGAGGTTTATCTGCTACCAAGGAACGCTGGTGTCTAGGGGAAAAGTTCTCCTTGTCCCAGCTTTCTGAATGACATTCAGCTGATTAGGAAAGGAAAGATGACATGTTATCCCCTGGTGAGTCTGACAGTACAGCAACAGGTAGTGGAGCAGCAGTGTTCAGCAAAGACTGTGCAATAAATCCACAGTTTGGGCCACCTGGAAATCAAAACCAGAGTAGGGCTGGAAAACCTTCATGCAAATTTAGGACTGGTGGGAATACAGATACAAGCACGTTAAAGGCAGCTTTTGGTGGGAAGCAACATCTTCCCCATTCCTAGCTCACATAGCAGCAGCAGGGCTGTAGCCCAAAGCAGCATTCAAAAGGGAATTTCTGAGCCATCTTTTCTACACCCACAGCTGGAAGGCACCTCTTTGGAGCTCAGCTCAGAATGGGATTTGTCCTCAGCATACTCTTAGCCTGTGTCTTATTTTTCATTTTGTGCAGTTTCCTTTGCAATGTTGAAATAAAAACCAAACAAACAAACCCAAAAAAACCAAAGAAACAAACAAACAAACAAAAAACCCCAGTGCTTTTGTTTTCATTGATGATTTGACATTTGCTTTCCAAGGTCATTTGACACCTTTCCTCCTGCTTCTGGCACACTTGATGGTGGCTCTGCTCCTGCCTTGGGAAGATCACAAGAACCACTGTCTTTGTATCATGCAGCATGATTTGAAATTCCCACTTTTGTGTGGG